ACGAGAGAAGGTGGGAGATTAAACCTTAACAGAGAGAAGTTTTAGAGAGGTGAGTGGAAGAGGTTTAAGTGAGAGAAACATAAATGTTGTCGGATGTCTAATACATTAAAGATACATTTCGTGGTGACATACACACACCATAGACGATCTAATGTTAAAGATCAGAATAAGAGGGAGGGAGAGGAAAAGAAAAGAAACGGGGGGGGGGAGAGAGAGGGGGGGGGAAACTAAAACTGAAGGGCATTTACTGAAAGGGCCGCTGTGTAATTAAGAAAATTTGACAAAATTAATATCGACTACAGGTTACAAATCAAATATAAACATATAAAAACATATATATATATATATATATATATATATATATATATATATATATATATATATATATAAAACAAAAAAGGGTGTAAGACAAGGACGTATTCCCAAGCGGTTAACCTTCCAGGTACTTATCATGCTCAACGTTTGTTAACGCTAGTTATCTTCACGTGTTTCAACGGGATGTGGCCGTAATCCAGAAAGAATTTTGAGTGGAAGAAGAGATATGAGAAATGAAAGAAAAGAAATATAGAAAAGAAATTGAAGAAAAGGAAGAAAAACAACCAAAGTCATAAGAAGAAAATATAACGTTATAATAAAAAGTGTCAATGAACAGATAAAATAAATATATATGTAAACATCTGATAGTCTTCCACGAGAGTCAAATAATAATGATCATGGTAAGCAGGAAACAAGGAAACATGTGGCATTCATTTTCTACGGAATATTAACTCCCCACCAAAAAAAAATTATTTTCTGGCTTTAAATAACCTGAAATTGGGTTGATAAGCCGTAGAAAACGAACCAATCAATCACTTCACCTCGACTTGGTAAAGCCAGGTAATTTGAATATGAGATGTCCTCTAGAATATAAATGTATAGAAACTACAGTGGTCACAAAGTGAGGTATCGGTTTACATATTGATTCTAATATAAAACAGACCCCCCACTTTATATCCTAATTATAATTTCTTGTTTGTTCATCAAATTCTCATTAAGTATGAATCCACCTGTTCTCTTCCCCAGCTATGGGTTAATTAGTAAGCCTTGTATCACTGAAACATTTTTATCTCAAAAGAATTTCTTACGATCTAAAAAAAATGGACGGAAAGTGTGACACTGAAATCCGAAGTTGTATTGGGATAGCCAAGGAAGCATTCCCAATGAATAGATAAATAAATATATATCTAAACTTCTATTTGTCTTGCACGAGAGTCAAATAGTAATGATTATGGTAATAATAGCCGTTTCCCTACAAGGAAACATTTGGCATTCATTTTCTACGGAATATCAACCCTTCACAAGATATTTAAAGCCAGAATAAGTTTTAGATTATAAGAATTTTTTTGAACTAATAATTATTTAGTGTTACAAGTTTTACTAATGAACCCATAGCTGTGGGAGAAGACGTGAATTCATCTCTTTCTTAAGGGTATTTGCTCGTAAGTAAATCAAATGAACCCAACGGGAATTGGAACTCGACTCTCCGATTAATAATTCTGAGTGATTATCCATTGCACCACCCGCACATCCAAACTTAGAACACCTAATATTTCTCAGCGGTCACCCATTAAGTTACTGACCAGGCTCGACGTTGCTTAAATTCGGTGATTGAACGGAACTGATATTTTACCGGAAGACTGCCCTAAGCCAAGTAGATTTATGCCTTCTCCAATGGCATTAGTGCGAAAATGAACGAGACGGGAATTCGAACACAGCATGCTGATTCCAGTTTCAGCGGAAATAATCGTAAAGCTACCCTCACTTCGGAACCATTTGGCATTCATTGACCGAACAAGGTTATTGCTAAAACATATACCATCTTTCTTTTAAAACCTTTTTTAAAGGAAATTACTTCACAAAGATTTGTTTGGAGCTGCTCAGAAGCTTTGATACATTTCAGAATGATATTAGAATAATCAAGAACCTATACTTGCAACAAATTGCCTCCATAGGGATAGAAAATGAACCCAGCAGATCTAAAAGAAAAGGAAACGGCTGTACGACAAGGAGGTGTCTTCTCACCGGACATATTTAACCTATACAGCGAGGCCCAGCAGATCTAAAAGAAAAGGAAACGGCTGTACGACAAGGAGGTGTCTTCTCACCGGACATATTTAACCTATACAGCGAGGCCCAGCAGATCTAAAAGAAAAGGAAACGGCTGTACGACAAGGAGGTGTCTTCTCACCGGACATATTCAACCTATACAGCGAGGCCCAGCAGATCTAAAAAAAAAAAAGAAACGGCTGTACGACAAGGGGGTGTCTTCTCACCGGACATATTCAACCTATACAGCGAGGCCCAGCAGATCTAAAAGAAAAAGAAACGGCTGTACGACAAGGGGGTGTCTTCTCACCGGACATATTCAACCTATACAGCGAGGCCCAGCAAATCTAAAAGAAAAAGAAACGGCTGTACGACAAGGATGTGCCTTCTCACCGGACATATTTAACCTATACAGCGAGGCCCAGCAGATCTAAAAGAAAAAGAAACAGCTGTACGACAAGGGGGTGTCTTCTCACCGGACATATTCAACCTATACAGCGAGGCCCAGCAGATCTAAAAGAAAAAGTAACGGCTGTACGACAAGGATGTGCCTTCTCACCGGACATATTCAACCTATACAGCGAGGCCCAGCAAATCTAAAAGAAAAAGAAACGGCTGTACGACAAGGATGTGCCTTCTCACCGGACATATTCAACCTATACAGCGAGGACCAGCAGATATAAAAGAAAAGAAACGGCTGTACGACAAGGAGGTGTCTTCTCACCGGACATATTTAACCTATACAGCGAGGCCCAGCAGATCTAAAAGAAAAAGAAACGGCTGTACGACAAGGGGAAACGGTCTTCTCACCGGACATATTCAACCTATAAAGCGAGGCCCAGCAGATCTAAAAGAAAAAGAAACGGCTGTACGACAAGGGGGTGTCTTCTCACCGGACATATTCAACATATACAGCGAGGCCCAGCAGATATAAAAGAAAAGAAACGGCTGTACGACAAGGAGGTGTCTTCTCACCGGACATATTTAACCTATACAGCGAGGCCCAGCAGATCTAAAAGAAAAAGAAACGGCTGTACGACAAGGGGGTGTCTTCTCACCGGACATATTCAACATATACAGCGAGGCCCAGCAGATATAAAAGAAAAAGAAACGGCTGTACGACAAGGAGGTGTCTTCTCACCGGACATATTTAACCTATACAGCGAGGCCCAGCAGATATAAAAGAAAAAGACACGGCTGTACGACAAGGGGGTGTCTTCTCACCGGACATATTCAACCTATAAAGCGAGGCCCAGCAGATCTAAAAGAAAAAGAAACGGCTGTACGACAAGGAGGTGTCTTCTCACCGGACATATTCAACCTATACAGCGAGGACCAGCAGATATAAAAGAAAAAGAAACGGCTGTACGACAAGGAGGTGTCTTCTCACCGGACATATTTAACCTATACAGCGAGGCCCAGCAGATCTAAAAGAAAAGAAACGGCTGTACGACAAGGGGGTGTCTTCTCACCGGACATATTCAACCTATAAAGCGAGGCCCAGCAGATCTAAAAGAAAAAGAAATGGCTGTACGACAAGGGGGTGTCTTCTCACCGGACATATTCAACCTATAAAGCGAGGCCCAGCAGATCTAAAAGAAAAAGAAACGGCTGTACGACAAGGGGGTGTCTTCTCACCGGACATATTCAACATATACAGCGAGGACCAGCAGATATAGAAGAAAAAGAAACGGCTGTACGACAAGGAGGTGTCTTCTCACCGGACATATTCAACCTATACAGCAAGGTGATTCGGACAGAACTAGAAGTCGTATCAGGTTTTATTACTGGCGGCCGCAATCTTTATAACATAAGGTATGCAGATGACACAGTGTTGATAACAGTCACAGAAAGAAAGCTAGAAAAGCTCCTGTTATGAGGGAAAACGAGAAGAAAGGATTAAACATCAATTTCAAGAAGACATAATGCATGGTTGTTAGCAAAAGGATGAGCGCAAAGTGCGAATTACAAATCGAAGGGCCCAAAATCAAAGAAATGCGGAATTTTAATATCTGGGAAGGGTTTTAACAGAGGACGTAAAGTGTGACCTTGAAATCCGAAGTTGAATTGGGATAGCCAAGGAAACATTCCAAATGAATAGATAGATAGATAGATAGATAGATATGTAAACATCTATTTGTCTTGCACTAGAGTCAAACGGTAATAATAATCATGGTGATAATAGTTGTTTCCATTCTGTAGGAGTTTTTTCTAGCTTTCTTTCTCTGTCTGCTATCAACACTGTGTCATCTGCATACCTTATGTTATGAAATGGACAAAGTCCGACAATTACTTTAAGACATTTTTTATGTTTGTCCGTTCTTTTTATAGATACAAATATTTAAGTAAATGCTTCGCTTATAATAAACAGTATTAACGACATTTACCTGACGTGCTTTAACGATTGAGCCACGTATTTGTCCATTTCATAATGTGTGACGTCATTTGTTTACATTTGGATACGCATCGAGCAGATATGAAAGTACGAGAGAAAAGCATGGAGAATTGTAGTTTAAAAACAGTAAAATCGACCTTGACACCCGAAATACTCCTCTGGAAATATCTTATGTCATTATTTTACTAGGGTTTTCCTTCTTTTTTTTTTTAATTTGTTGCTGATGTTGGTAATCCTCAAATGATGTGGCTTCTGTTATTTGGCAGAGTTCTTTGTGATTCTGTAGCGCCAGTCGACAGTGTTCAAAGAAAGATGAACTTTGCCAAGAGCCTCACGCTTTACCCGCTCAAAGCCATTTTTTCACTATTCACAAAAGTCTACATATACGTTTGGTTTTGCACGAATCAAAAGGGTAAACACAAGTAGCGTGAAAAGTTCGACCAATTTTGTGAGATTTACTTCTCGGTACGTGAATTCAGCCGGCGTTTGCTCGACTTCAACCGGCTGACGGGGCCGTAAAATGGGATATTTCCATTTCTTAAGATCCATTCTATCTAGATCGTCAATATTTGTGGTTGAGGATCATTCTTGGACTCTGATGATGAACATAGTCTTGTTGCATCAAAACCAATTTTTTTTTCTTCAAAAAGGTACACATTAAGTGCAGCTGTTTGCAGACGATGTCTGAGATAACAGACCGATATTCTGGCACGATTACAAAGTGGTTGTTTTGCTTGAATATTCTTGCAAACCCAAAACCTTAAAGCATTCCTTCGAAGCTTTATTGATTTGCAAAACGTTCTAAGGTTTTTTCGCGATTCTGTCAATTTTTTTTTTTTTTTTGTGTATGTCTGGGATTTCTTAATCTTTGGCACAAAGATATTTGAAATAAAAAGCATATCCAACTGATTTTCGAAGACAAATCTGGACACTATGGACTCAACTCTGACAGGAAATTATCCAAAATCGCCAATATGTAAATATATAATGAATATTCAGCATATATTTTAAACATTTCACCAGCAGCAAGGCGTAAATTCGACTAGTACACAGGGAGTTAGACGGAATAAAAATGGGAGAAAAAAAACTGAGTATAGAAGAGATAGAGAAAAGAAAAAAAAGATGAACGGAATTCAAGAACACAGAAGATGGCGATTGACGCTGCATTTAAACTTTAGATGATTGTAGTTACCAGGAAAGCAAGTAAGCGGAAGGGAGTTCTACAGTCGGGAAGTGCCAGAAAAGAAACTGTTGGAGCAATGGTTGTATTTAGCTATTTCAAAAGTAAACGGGTAGGATCTAGATGCCAAATTCATATGTACATATATAAATTATATTAGTCACTTATGTGTCATACGTGATACGCGCTTAGACGATCATGTATCTTTCGATACATGACTGACAATGCAATTTTTTCCTCAGTAGTTTGCACTTTCTTTCTGCGGTGGACCAGTTGCCAACCAAGGCTATAGAATACGGTCTGCCCTGCTATTTTCCTATAGATGGGAGGAAAAGAAGAGGATTCGCATCTTTCTCAAGAGTATCAGCACATAAGTGAAAGTAATGAATTTCACTTGAATTCTAACTCGGCTATAGATGTAAATATTCCCTGTGTATAATCACTCTGTCTGTAAATATATAATGTAGGTAGCCGATATACAGGGTGAGGGAAAAGTAACTCCCTATTTTAAGTATGATGGACTCTACCGTCTAAGTATGATTTTTACAAGACGGGAGAGTCCATCGTACATAAAATAGGGAGTTACTTTGCAATTATCCTGAATATTATAGGTGTTCGTATAATACAGAATCTGATCAAAAGGGTAGAAAACAGACAAAATAGAAAAAAAAAACTTTATATTGACAACGCGTTTCGTTTTCAGGTCAGAATGAAACACAAATCTATGTGAATATAAAAAAAGAAAACTTATCTTAGATGACGCGTTTCAACCTCTGGTGGATTGTATCAAGACAAATAGATTTGATTTGATAAAATACATTGGATCTTCCGGTATCTAACCGCTGTTTTAGACTCCATTTATTATTTCTGTAATCTTGTCTTCCGTCTGGTCCTGCCGCTTTGTTTATGTTCAGTTTAGCTATTCCAGATGCAACATTAGATTTTACTATATCCGGACAGCCGATATTTCTGTGTATCGCTTGTCGTTTTCTTTTGTCGTGGAAGAAGTCTGCCATGTATTCGTTCCATCTCTTAAGAATTTTTCTTTCTCTACTGTTAACGTTCCAACCTTAGTCTGTTCGTCTATCTTGTATCTATCTCAACCTCTCTCCGATCTATTTACGTATTTGATTCTGTTACCTATCTTTTATCTCAGTCTGTTCAACTATTTATCTATCTCATTCTGTTATCTATCTATCTATCTTTGTCTGTTCATCTATCTATCTCATTCTGTTCAACTATCTTTCTATTCAACGTTCTATCTATCTCATTCTCTTATCTAAGTCTATTCTCATCTATCTATCTATCTATCTATCTATCTATCTATCTAGACACACATACACAGATAAGTACGCTTGCACACCAACATATATGATGTCTACCTTTCTCTTGTATCTATCTATCAATCTCTCTCCTATCTATCTATCTATCTATCTCAGTCGGTTCAACTTTCTTTCTATTCAATGTTCCATCTATCTATCTATCTATCTATCTATCTATCTTACTCGCGTCCTTTACTATCGATCTATCTATCTAGCTAGCTAGCTTTGTATCCCTTTGTCTCTCACGATCTGTTCATATCTATCTATCTATTTATGTTCGCGTCATTCATTATCTATCTATCTATCTATCTATCTATCTATCTATCTCATTCTGTTGCCTATGTATCTATCTGATTCTCTTGCATATCTATCTATCTATCTATCTGTCTAAATCTGTTACCTTTGGATCTCATTTTGTTATCTATCTATCTATCTATCTGTTGAAACTTGACTAATGCATGTAATAATAATGCAACACAAAATGTACTTAGAACAAAATGTATTGAAACAAGAAAGTGTACACAATAGTCTTTTGTATATTCCTGGTAAGACCGTTCTGGAGAATGTGTTGACTGAGTTGCAGTCGGGGAAAGTCTCTGGTTGAATCCCTTGATTCCAATAATTTTCTTCCCGGTACCAATTATATGGTCGGTTCCACTATGCAAATTAGGGGATCCTATACAACACCCCTCCCAAGCCTTGGAATCCCTTTTGATTTCAAACTCTTCCTATATGGGTTGATGATTATGGCTATTTCTTTTGTATATCCATTTGCATACTTCATATGCATATGTCCATCCGCTTAATTTTATATTTTTTCCGTTTTGGATTCGTCCAATGGGTCCGTGAACTTTCGTTTCCTACCGGATCTTCTCGGTTCAGGAGTATTCTGCGGAGGTTCTACTTGAAACATATCATACATTACCTCAATGGGATCTTCCTCCTCATCCGGTATACTCTCTTCATGCTCTATAACGTTACATTTTTTTAAGTTGATTCTGGTGCCTTTTATGAGTATTCTTCGGCCCTTTAATTATGTAAAATCAGGTCACCGATTCTCTTGTCCACTATGCTCGCTCCCAGAACTCAAGGTTGTTTTGTAGCACTTGAAAACACCTTCTCTCCGGAGGTGTATCTTTTTTCTCGCTGTATACATAGTATTCTTTACTCTATTTTTCCTGGCAAAAGTTTGTCAAACACTGACTTAACTTTTAGCGAACATTAGTTCAGCTGGTGCCATGTTTGAGTGTGTTCTCTGGTTTGGCATTCATTATCTTGTAGGAATTGCTGAAGCGCCTTTTCCGTTGGAATTGGAGGGCTTTCTTCAGAGCGCACTTTATAGTATCGACAAATATTTCTGCGAGTCCATTGGACCTCGGATGATCTCGTTATGTGGTTAATTTGATTCCTTAAATTCTTGTTGAATTGTGTACCATTGTCACACATACACCCTGCACACCGAACCGTGCAAATAGTTTATGCAAGAAAGTTGTTGTGGTATTAGACGTAGGCTTTTGCAGCGTATTCTTCCGGCCATTTTTTGTAAAACTATTTACTACTATAGTAATAATCTTCTACTGACCAGCGAAATCAATGTGTAATCTTGTCTATAGGTGGTGCTTTAGCTGCTAACGCACACCTTTTACATCGATGAACCATGTTTGCGATATCAACATCCATTCCTTTCAATATACAAAGCTTCGCATCATATTGTGACCCATATGAAAGTCCCGTAGTATTCTTTTATGCAACTTTTTTGGTATACTACTCTCTCACCATATAATAAAACCTTCACCTATTGAATAAATCTCCTGCACTTTTTGGTCATTTGCTACCATTTGCTTTTTTATTTCTAAAATGAAATAATCGCTTTCAGCTTTTTTAATTTCCTTTAGTGTAACCGGTAGCTCTCTTACAATGTTGTTTACCATGCTTTTCACCTCATAATCTGCTCTGATAACAAAATGATTCTTAATCTTTCTTCTTGACTCGGTACGAGTCTTGATAAAATCCGCATGAATTATATTTTTGGATGATAGGTATGTGAAAATATATTGAGAAGAATGGTTCCCCATCTCAACTTTTGCCGTATAAACGGGTAACCTTTTCTTTGAACAAAAAATAGTGATCAGTGGTTTATGATCCGTTTAAGCATAAATGTCTGCCGTGGATGTTGTGAAATTTTGTTATAGCAAAATGATACACAACGCCTCTTTTTTGGGAGTAAAGTTCTTGAAGTAGAACCATCTGGCATTATGTGTTGAATACACGTCTACCCCGTATGAACAGAGTCACTTGCCACTACAATATCCAGGTTTGATTTTAATGGGTTAAAAAGAGGTCGGACGTAAGCATTCCTTTATTTCATCAAAGGCTTTTGACATTCTACCGTCCATTCCCATGCCTTGTCTTTTTTAGCAGTTCATTCAACAGAGCTCTTATATTTTATTCCTTTAATGGTCTGATAATAATTTCGAATAGAAAATCCCTGTAGCATCGCCACATTAGTGGGCGTCCTACTCTAATCGCAATGGACCTTTCCGGATCTGGAAATCTGCCATTTTTTGTTGATTATGTCTTAATCCTCCAAACCAAATTCACACTTTCTTTGACTTTAAAACCAAAGTCCTGAATCTTTTTAAATACTTGATTGAGATCTCGATGTTCATCGACGGTTTACTATGATCTAAGTAGGCGCACGCAAAGTCTAAATCATTATGACGTCCATATTGTTGAAAAATGGCTGGTGCCATTTTTAATACCAACAGGAAGCCTGTTGTACTTGAATAACCCTCTATGCGTGTTTATTCGAACATTCCTCTTGGAGATAGGCATCTGTCTGTTCATAACTCCACCATTTAGCTTGTTAAAAATCTCCGGACTCGGTAACGGGTAATGGTAGTCATGCCGAGTTCAACCTGTCGAAAAATCTATCTTGGTTTGATTTCTTTTTTTATGCACACAATCCGCAGCCCATGAATTAGATTCCTCGAAATAATTCCCCATTTTTTCCAACCTATCAAGTTCTTCTCTCTCTAGCGACATATTTTTTATTTTTAATTCAAATTTGGCTTCAAACTTGTTACATCTTCCAAGACCAGGTGTGAAGGTTTCCGGAAACTTTTCTTTAATTCATCTTTAATGTCCTGTCTTGTTTTATAAAAGATACTTTTCTTTCTGCAGAAAGAGTTTTAACGGTTTATCCCACAATTCGAATGTTTCAATAAAATCTGTACCCATCTTTTCCATTTTTTCAGAATGAAAACTTTTATTTTTTTAACTATCCCGTTCAATTTCGGGAAGTACAAGAAGTTAATTTCTTTCCAGTTAATATATTAAGGCCTTTTAAAAATTTTCCATGTTTTATAGTTCATTATTGTTAAACTGAAACCCGAATCGATATACTTCCTCAAATCTCTATCTGATTTGATATTTGAATAATATATATATACACGAAATATATATATATATATATAGTGTCTTTCGTTGCAACGTCTACAATTATATGGAACCTTTTTTTTTCCTCTTCGTTTTTTCATTTAATATTTTTAAAATACGCCGAATTTTTTAATCCATTTTTTTGCTGATGTGTAATTTGACTGTTTTTTTTTTTTTTAATATAACGCCAGCTTCTTCGATTTTTTGAGACTCTTTCTTTAAACTTACGGCCCGCTGACACCCCCTCCTGCTAACTTTTGTAGGTAAGGTTTTGTTCGAGATTCGAGTTTAGCAAAACTCTACGTCTTATTTCGGCACTCTTACTGGATACCTGTCCTTGAGCAAAAATTAAACACTTGAATTCTTCAACCGTAATCTCTGCCAATCTGAAATTGTCAATGTCTATTCACTATAGATGCATATGTTAAGTAATCCTGATCGTCGGATTTAGCGACATTCATGCATAACCATCGCTTATGTCAAAGCGACATATTTGCTCTTTTTAGTAATTTCTGTTTCGAGAATTCCAATTCATTCGTTCTTCTCGGTAGAATAAAATCTCTAAAATTTGCTATGTTCTGCTGTACCTAGCTTTCTTTAGTAATTGACTTTTCTGAATTCGACCAGTTTTCAGTCTGTGTAGAAAATATCTTCATATCGTTTAAAGTGGCTTTCAAACGTTTTTTCTTCGTCTGGCCCATAGTTCAAGCGAATTAAATATGATGTTATTAGAATATGAAGAATTTCCTTCATTTGCCTGATTGTTGTTTAATTTCTCCAGTGTTAACTTTTGAATTTCTAAAACCTTGATCTGCATTTCTTCCTGTTTTCCCAGTCTTTACCATCTATCATTTTCTTGATATTTTTTCTGTCTTTCCTCTTGCTTTTCTTGATATTTTTGCTGTCTTTCCTCATTTGATATTTTTCTATTCCCTTATTATAAGGCAAACTCTCTGATCTGGGATTTGAATAATTCAGATATGACTTTGGATAATTCATCCATCTTTTCTAATAGTGTTCATCTCTTTTAATTTGTGTATCCACGGATATAATATAATCTGACCAGAAAAATCGAAACAACCTATGTCTTCTTTTATAAAATATTGTTGAGCAAACAAAAAAAAACTTTTTTTTTTAAAGTTCGTTACCTTTCAAAGTCGACACGATATTTGTGCGCCTTTTAAATCCATCATGTTTTTATCGATTTTTTTTTTTTTTTTTTTTAAATACCGTTATTCGTTTACGACACCTTTCAAATTTTTCTGAGTGAACGTTCCTTTATGCTTAGTATCGAGTTCTAAATATCCAGAAATTCAGAATCCTTCGCCGTTCCATTAGATGTTGGACTTTTAATTAATAATTTTTTCCTTCAGCCTGGGTTCTTCAATGACTTGTCCCAATTGTTGTAGGCTATCAATTATGAATTTTTTTTTTTCGTATAGTTCTCTCGTCGTCATTGTTGAAACTTGACTAATGCATGGAATAATAATGCAACACAAAATGTACTTAGAACAAAATGTATTGAAACAAGAAAGTGTACACAATATTTACATATAGTCTTTTGCATATTCCTGGTAAGACCGTTCCTGGAGAATGTGTTGACTGAGTCGCAGTCGGGCAGAGTCTCTGGTTGAATCTCTTGATCCCCCCCTCTCTTCCTGGTACCAACCATATTTATATGGTCTGTACTCGAATATGCAAATTAGGTGGATCCTACCACAACACTATCTATCGATCTATCTTATTCTGTTATCTATCTATCTATCTCAGTCTGTTCATATCTATCTATCTATCTATCTATCTATCTCAGGCTGTTCATTTTCTGTTTCAGTCTGTTCATATCTATCTATCTATCTATCTATCTATCTATCTCAGTCCACTCACCGCTCCTACTCTTTCTCTCTCTCTAGCGACATCTTTAGCTACGTTCCTATCTACTAATTATATTGATTAGTATTTTCCTTTTCTATTCAGAAAAGATATGTTTAAATTAATCTGAGCACTGCGTCGTATATCATATATATATATATATATATATATATATATATATATATGATATTTGCGCATTATATATACGAGAAGCTGATGTGTACGTACGCTCGCTTCATTGTCCACTTTTGTGAGCTATCTTTCTATTCAACGTTCTATCTATCTATATATCTATTTATCTATCTCATTCTCTTGCCTATCTATCTATCTATCTATCTATCTCATCCTGTTACCGGTCTGTCTCATTCTGTTGTCTATCTATCTATCTATCTATCTATCTATCTATCTATCTATCTCATTTTGTTACCTATCTATCTATCTTATTCGGTTATCTATCTATCTATCTATCTATCTCAGTCGGTTCAACTATCTTTCAATTCAACGTTCTATCTATCTATATATCTATTTACCTATCTCATTCTCTTGCCTATCTATCTATCTATAGATCTGTCTATCTATCTCATTCTGTTACCTGTCTATCTCATTCTGTTATCTATCTATCTATCTATCTCATTTTGTTACCTATCTATCTATCTATCTATCTATCTATCTATCTTATTCGGCTATCTATCTATCTATCTCAGGCTGTTCATTTTCTATTTCAGTCTGTTCATATCTATCTATCTATCTATCTATCTCAGTCGGTTTAACTATCTTTCTATTCAACGTTCTATCTATCTATATATCTATCTATCTATCTCATTCCCTTGCCTATCTATCTATCTATCTATCTATCTATCTATCTATCTATCTATCTCATTCTGTTACCTGTCTATCTCATTCTGTTATCTATCTATCTATCTCATTTTGTTACCTATCTATCTATCTATCTATCTATCTATCTATCTATCTATCTATCTCAGTCTGTTCATATCTATCTATGTATCTATCTATCTCTGGCTGTTCATTTTCTATTCCAGTCTGTTCATATCTATCTATCTATCTATCTATCTATCTCAGTCTGTTCATATATATCTATCTATCTATCTCTGGCTATTCATTATCTATTTCAGTCTGTTCATATCTATCTATCTATCTATCTATCTGTCTGTCTGTCTGTCTATCTCATTCTGTTATCTATCTATCTATCTATCTATCTATCTATCTATGCCAGTTTTCATTTAAGGCACTTAGAATTTTCAGATTTAATCATGTTTATATCACTTCGTTTCTTTCCATGAATGTCTCAACCAAATGAACGTGTCTTTTGTCCTGCTGGTTCTCTTACTTGACTAATCAATATTCTTTGCATGTAAAATTATGTTTTTAATTTTCTAATCGGGTACAAATTGTTGCAGTGATCTATCTACTAATCTATCTACTTGTCTATATATTTTTTTAGAAAAATCAAATGAACGAAAATTACAAACAAGACGAAAGTAGAATTAAGAACATTATGAAAAAATTGCATGACACAAGTTGACAATAGCAAAAAAATTTAGATTAATTTTTTATTACAAAAAAATTAAAAACTAACCTTATAGATAAAAATAATAATTCACCTCTTAGAATTAGAATTAAATAGGACAATATTATTTACGAATTTAAATGCCCATTAAAGAACTGTATTCCTGATCAATCAAAATTCGTAAATAATTATATAGGCCACACTACAACATGTTTGACACGCAGACTCACTCTACATCTTTCTGACCATAGCTCAATTAGATCTCATTTAAATATTTATGGAGACCTACCGGACACTATTTGTAACATACTTTTTGACAACACAAATATAATAGCATTATCTACATGCAAAAAAAAGGCTAAAAATAATGGAAGCCTTCTTAATAAAAACAAAAAAAAACACTTACTAATATTAACTCTATCCATGGACACCGTGTTTTGAAAAATGAAAATATTCTATAAAACATACACATAACAAACTATATTTAACAGTTAAAATATTTAATCCTTGAAAATGGCTAAATGTATAGCCGAAAGCGCTCGGATAAAAAGAACATTTGGACAGTTTTTATATAATTAATCATTTTCTTTTTTTAGATCGCATGAGAAATTGTATAAAAAATTAAATAAAAGCACCTTGTCTGTCGTATTCAATGAAATGGCCATGAAAGAATCCTAATGAACCAGAACCTACCAACCAAAGTTTCAACTAACGGATCTTAAGGATGCTACTGGATCCGTTAGTAGGTAGGTTCTGGCTCACTGGGTTTTTTTTTATTTGATCTACTTAGTGTATTGAATACTTTTATGTTTTTACTCAATTTAATCTGTCGGTGTTTTTCTTTTGACTAAGAACTACGGTGCTGATTGATTATTTTCGACTAACAAGGATATTTTTTTATTGATTTTTTTCCCTCTGATATCGCTTTGTTCAAATATATTTTTATTTACAAATTGTATTATCCTGTTTTGTTTTTTTTGTTGTTTTTTTTTTTTCATACCGCCCAAATATTCTTAAATGCCTATAATTGATAACAGAAGCCATTGGTTTATGCCAACGGATCCCATACTTAATACTTCTCGTTTTCACTGACGCGTGGTCATGTGTGACGTCACGAGATGCAATGCGATTTTCGCTTCCGCGTCTCGTATACACGCGTTTGTCGTTGCTTTGAATTCTTTCATGGAACAAAAAGAGACCATCATTATTGTTTTTCCGTGTATTGTTCAATATATTGAAATGTAATTGTCATCTTTGATAATGGTTTATGTAAGCCGTAAACTTAGATAGGATTAAAAAACATGTATCCATATGGTGATTTCCTTTCGTCTTTCAATGATAATGTTAAGCTTATCAGACAATATGAAAGGAATTTACTTAAAATAAATAGACAAAACATGTCTATATTAATTAATGAAACATGTTAAAATGTGGTTAAAAATTTTATATCCATCTATCAGAATCTGCTTCTATCTACATTAAGAAATGGACAAAGTCCGACAATTTATTTATTAAAGACATTTTTATGTTTAACGTTCTTTTTTATAGATACAAGTATTTAAGTAAATGCTCTGTTTATAATAAACAGTATTAAATAACATTTACCGGCCTGAATGTCCGAGAAATTTTCATAGAAAATATTCGTCCTTTGACAGGATTCGAACCTGCATTCTATACGGAACTGTCATTTACGTTGACGTGCCTTAACCGTCTCGGCCACAAAGGAGCGTTCGTTATAAACTTCAATTTGATACACCAGAATGTACGAGATTCATGGAAGATTGAAGTTTATAAGCAGTAAATTCGACCTTGCCTCCCGAACGCTCCTTTGTGGCCGAGACGGTTAAGGCACGTCAGCGTAAATGACTATCTATCTATCTATCTATCTATCTATCTATCTATCTATCTATCTACATACCTATCTATCTATCTATCTATCTATCTATGCATTTATCTATTTATCTGAAAATTAAAATAAAATGGTATATCTGGGTCCGAAATTGCGTCGTCTATTCCTATATCTAACTTTCCTATTCTCCTGGTCATTTTTCCAGTATGTTCTAGAGCAGTTTTTTTTCTTGAAGTCCATTTCTTTAACCATATGACTTTGCCTTCTATTGGCACTGGGAACTCGGCAAATTGGTAAAAAATGGAAACAAACTTTTTTCTTCAATCTCATTCGCGCTCAAAAGGCGTGAGGAATTTTCCGTGCTGCGAACTAATTCTATAAAATAATAGTCCCCCAAAATAGAATACTTACTTTCCATGACTGTCTTGCAAATGGATTAATCAAAACCAAAATAAAAAAATAAAATAAAATCCCAGCAAGAGAAATCCCATTTCGTCGGGATTCCAATATTTCTATAAGATTCGGCTGGTCATCCCGTTGTACGACCAGCAGCCACAACCGCTATGAGCAGCTCTTCACATCCTCATAACACCAAGAAAATCTCACTTAATCGTGATTGGTTTTTCCAGCTTCAACTGGACACTGTTCATGAAGCGGCCATTGCGATAGGAAAACGTGTTTCGGTTTTGACTTTGTTTTACGAAACCTTTATCGGCTGTTCGCGTGTCTTTTTGGTCTTTGGCAAATTGTTTTCTTTATGCCTTCACTAATAGAGACTATTATGGTTGTTTTGCCAGCATTTGTTTGCATTGATGCCTTTGTAGTTTTTGAGGTTGGGGGCGGTGCAGGGAACTGCGGTGTCTAGTTGCAATATTTATAAGATATTTCCACGCCATTTTTTTTTTCTCATCGATTCTTTATTTTATTTTTACTTCGTTTTTCCATCAGTGATTTATTTTATAGTCTTTTATTTTTCTTTCCTCCGACTTCTCTCACTAACACACTCTCTCAATCTTACTCATTCTCTCACTCTCTCTCACTCTCCACTCTTTCACCCCCTCTCTCACACTCTCTCAATCTCACTCATTCTCTCACTAACACACCCTCTCTCAGTAATTCCCCAACTCTCTCTTACTCTCTCACCCTATCTCAACCCCTCTCTCACTCTCAATCATTCTCTCACTCACTTACTCTCACTCTTACAGTCACTCCCTCCATCGCTTACTTTTTATCAATCTTACACTCACTCACTCACTCACTCACTCACTTTCTGACTCTCGCATCCAATCTTTCATTCACTCACTCTCTCTCACTTACTTTCTCTTACTCACTCTCTCATCCTCACACTCTCATTCACTCACTCTCATTCTCACTCTGTCACGCTCATTCTCTCACACTCACTGTTTTCTCTCTTAGTGTCTCGCACATTCTCTCTCACATTCACTCTCTCGCTCCCTAACCCCTTACTCTCTCTCACTCATCCGTTCTATCTCACTCTCACTCACATTCTTACTGTCGTTCTCAGTTACTCACTCTTTCTCTCACTCTCACTCTCTCTCATTTTTCTCATTCACTTTCATACTCATTCTCTCACATACTTCACTCATTCTTTTCACTTACTCACTCTCTCTGTCTCTCTCTTACTTACATTCTCTGTCTGTCTGTCTGCCTCTCTCTCTCTCTCTCTCTCTCTCCAATTTTTGTAGTAATTCTTTCTGCGTTTCTCTTTCCTCATTTTTTTCCATTTGACATTTTTTTCAAGGGTGTCATTTGACATTTTTTTTTCTTTCTCTTCTCAGTTTCCTTCATATCGAAATTTTATTGTTCATTTTTTTTTCCTTTTTTCTTCTTCTGTATTCTTTTTATTTTCTTTTTTCCTTCTCTTGTTCTTTCTTCATTTCTTTTATTTCTATTTGTCTTCTTCATGTTGCCATCAAATTTTCTTTTCTTTCACCTTTTTTTTTCTTTCTTCCTTATCTCTTTTCAGTCATTTTTTTTTTTTTTTTTTTTTACATATTCCAACTTCTCGGATTTATTTCTCACAATTTTCGTTTCCTCTTTTCTTCCTTCTTTTCGTTCCTTCTTCAATTTTGTTTTTTTTTTTTTATTATTTTAACTTCTTTTTTTTCATTTCTTTTCCTTCAGCATTCCTTTTTTCTTCATTTTTTAAAAAAAATTTCTTCTTTTTTCTCCCCCCCCTTCTTCATTTATTTTATTTTTACTTCGCTTCGTACCTCCACTTTCTTTTTTTCTTTTTTCCTTCCTTTCTTTTTTTTTGTTCTTTCCTTCCTTCTTTCTTTTTCTTGTTTTTTTTCCCTTTCTTTTCTTCCCTATTCATTTATTTTAATTTTTCTTCTCCTTTAGCACGTTCTTAGCTCTCTTTTTTCTTTTGTTTTTTTTTCTTTCTTTTCTCTTTCTCTTCCGCCTTTTTCATTTCTTTTATATTTCCTTCTCTGTTTACATTTTCTTACCTTTCTTTTTCTTTTCTTCTTTTTTCATTCCTTCCGCCATTTTTAATTTCTTTCATTTCTGCTTCACTACTTTTCTTTTTACCATAACTTCTTTTTTCTTTCTTTGATTCGCTATAGCTTCATTTATTTTTATTTTTCTTTTCCCGTTTTATTTTCGTTCTTTGTCTCCCTCTTCTGACATCTTGCCTTCTTTTTTTACTTTTCTTCTTCATTTTTTCTTTTTCATTCTCTTCCGACTTCTTTCCTTTTTTTTTAATTTTCTTCTTCCTTTTCCTTTTTTTCTTCTTTTTCCTTTTCTTCTGACCTCTGACCATTAACTTTACTTCTCTTCTTCCTTTTTCTTTTTTTTTCTTTCTTTTCCTTCTCTTAACTCTTGCCTTCTTTTTTGCTTTTCTTCTTTCTTTTTCCTTTTCTTACGACATCTTAACTCCTTTTTTTTTACTTTTCTTCGTTCTTATTCACTCTCTTCTGACTTCATGCTTTCTTTTTCTACTGTTCTTCTTCATTTTTTTCTTTCTTTTTCCTTTTCTTCTGACCTCTGTCTTTTTTCTTTTCTTTTCTTTCCCTTCTGATTTCTTGCCTTTTTTCTACTTTTCTTTTTCCTTTTCCTTTTCTTTCTTTTTTCTTCTCTTTCAATTTTTGCCACCTTTTTTTTATTTTTCTTGTTTTTTCTTTGTTTTTTCTTCTCTTCTTATTTGTTCCCTTCTTTTTCTATTTTTCTTTTTCGTTTCCTTTTCTTTATTTTCCTTCTCTTCTGACCTCTGCTTCTTCTGACCTCTGACTTCTTGTCTTCTGTGTTTATTTTTCTTCTTCGTTTTATCGTCTTTTTTCTTTTTCCTTCTCTTCTGACTTCTTGCCTTCTATTTTTTCTTCCTTTTTCTTCTTTCTTTTTCATCTTTTCTGATTTCTCGACTTCTTTTTTTTACTTTTCTGTTTTCCTTCTCTTCCTTTTTCCATTTCTTCTGACATATATACCTTCTTTTTCTCTTTCTTCTTCCTTTTTCTTTTATTTCTTTCTTTTTCATCTTTTACGATTTCTTGCTTCTTTTTGACTTTTCCTCTTCCTTTTCCTTTTCTTTTTTCCTTCTACATCTGACTACTTGTCCATTTTTTTTTACTTTTCTTCGTCTTTTTGACTCTCTTCGTGTTTTTCCATCTTCTGATATCTTGCCTTCTTTACTTTTCTTCTTTCTTTCCAATTTTTTCTTTTCCATCTTTTGTCTATTCTTGCCTTCTTTTGTACTTTTCTTCTTCCTTTTTCTCTTTCTTTGTCCAAATCTTCTGACTTCTTTTCTTGTTTTTTTAATTTGTTTTTCATTCTTTTTCTTCATTTTTTTTCATCTTTTTGTTTCTTTTCTTTTTGCTTCGTGCCCTCTGTTTTTATTTTATTTTTCATTCATTTTTTCTTTTCTTCCTATTTTTTTTTATTTTTCTTTCATTCCTGACTTCTTACCACCTATTTTCTATCTTCTTTCTTTTCCCTTTTTCGTTCTTTTCTTCCTTTTATTTTTTTTCATTTTTCCTTCTGACTTCAAAACTTCTGTTTTTATATTTCCTGTTTCTTCATTTTCTCCCTTTCTCTTATTCTCCTTCCTTTTTCTTTTACTTACTCATTCCTTTTTTTTTTTTTGACTTCGCTTTTTACTTTATACCGTCATTTTTTTTTTCATCTCTTTTCCTTCGGCATTCCTTTTTTCTTCATTTTTTTTTTAATTTTTCTTTTTTTTTCTTTTCCCTTCTCTTCCTAATTTTTTACCAACTTTTTTTTTACTTTTCTTCTTTCTTGTCTTCCATTTCCTTCCTTTTTTTTCTCTTCAACTTCATCTATTCTCTTATTTTTTTCCTTCTCTCCTGACTTCTTGTCTTCTTTCTTTCTATATTCTTTCTTTTTCTTCTTCTATAATTTTTTCGTTTTTCTTCCTATCTTTTCCCCTCTTTCATTCCTAGTTTTATTTCTTTGTTCCTTTTCATTTTCTTCTTTTTCTTTCTCCCGTTTTTTTTTCTTTTCTCCTTCATATTTTACTCCGTTCATTCGTTTTAACTTCTTCTCTTCCGGGTTTTTTTTTTAATTTTATTCTTCTCTTCCCCTTTCCTTCTATAACGGCCTCATTCCCTTCTTTTTTCTGTCTTTTTCTTCTAGCTCTCTTTCCTTTTTTTTTTTTCTTATTCTATTATCTTTCTCTCTTTATTCTTCCTTTTTTATTTCACTTTCCCCTTCTCAACTCTGTCTTTTTTCTTTATGGATTCTCATCTCATCCTACTGTTATATTCTTTAATGTTTTTCTCCCACTACCTCTTTCATATTCATTTTTTTCTTGATTTTACCTTCTCTCATTCTCTCACCATTCAGCCATTTCCAACCCGCCATTAATTCGATCGCCTCTCTTCTCATCACAACTTTTTCATCGTAAAAAAAGTTTGTAACATTTATTTTCATTAACAACAAACATTCCTATTCGCTTTATCATTATTCTCAACAATATTACTTCTCAATCTTTCATCTTTCGCTATAATTAGTTCTCGCCAATACACTTGTCGTCTGCTCGCCTTGGAAAAGTAATCTGTCTTTACAGACATTTTTAAAACTGATTTTGGCTCTGTTTTTCCATTTTTTTCGTAGTCTATCGTACATAGACTTTTAGGAGTTAATGTTTAGTTTCGCTTATATTTTTAAGATCTTTTCTTTTTCAATTTTCATTTGTTTGTTTTTTTGTTTTTTTTGTTTTTTTCATTTTGCTTTTTTCTTTTTCTTTTTGCCTTCTTTTTCTTTTGGGGGGATTTTCGATTTTTGGTCTTCTTATATGGAAATCTTTGTCGCCATTGCAATTGTTGTTCTAACTGTCCGCCATTTCTTGTCTTTCATTTTATTTATTTATTTGCATTCATGATTTTCATCATTTGTTTGATCTTGTTTCATCTTGCTTATTTTTGCCGCTATATTGGCATTTGCTTCATTTTAATGTTTTGTCTAAAACTGTTTTCCATCGTCAACGTTTTCTTCTGCTTGCACCATCCATTTTATTATTTGTTTGGTCTCTACTTCCTGTTTCTTTCGCCTCTTCTCCATTGAAATTCTTTTTCTCCTCCCTTTTATTCGACTACTGCTACTACTACTACTACTACAACCTCACCTCTTCCCTTTCTATTTCCTTAATTTCTTCGTCTCTTCCTCCTCCTCCTCCTCCTCCTCCCCATCTTTCTTTTATCTACTACTAATATTTCTACTACTACTACTAATAATAATAATACATCCTTATCACTCAACCCCACATTGACTCCATGAACACCTCCTAACTACTTTTCCAGCTACTACTTCTACGACTTCACCTCACCTGTAAAAATTCATATATTATAAATAAATAAATAAAACTATATTAAATATTAGATGCCTTTTTTCAATCCTCATTTTAGTCTATACAATAATTTTTGTACAGAATCTAACAAATTTTTTTTTACCTATATATATATATATATATATATACAGCCAGCTTTCCCTGACGATCCGCTTAGGTGAAACCTTGGTAGATTTATCTGGCTCTCTAGGTTTGACTAGGTCTGCTCTACTTTTGTATTGAGCACTTTTAAGTTAGTTGATTACTTGTATCAGGTTTTTTTTTTTCTTTGGGCTTTGGACCTGTATGCTGTACGATTATTTTCGACAGATGTTCATGTTCCTAGCTCTTTCTTTTTTTAAAACCTTTTTTTTCCTTTGAGATTGATTCGACCATTAGCAAATCAAAAAGGTTTTCCGAGACGAGTGTAGTTACATTTATATATATATATATATATATATATATATATATATATATATATATATATATAGATATGATATGTAGAAAATAGGAAAGAAACACACACACACACACATACACACACACACATATATATCTATCTATCTATCTATCTATATATATATATATATATATATATATATATATATAGCAGCATGGCCCGGCGTTGCGCGCGTGCTTGATTCAAAAATCGTACGACTCATACAGCAATCGCAATCACTTGACTTTTGCACTTCCTTGCCTTTAAAGGAGTGCCTTTGCCGTGCTGATGTTGCTACATGCCTTACTTCTTGCCTATCTCACACTGCGAATTTTTTCTAAGCTCTATACTAAACATTAAATCTGTTACGAAAAAAGAACTAAACAAAATGAACACAAAACGATCAGCTTTAAAAAAGGACTCGTAACTCGAAAAACCGAATGAAAAAAGAATGTTAACAACAA